TTATGAGAGGGAAAAAGAATTAATTTCTAAAAGGTTGAGCGTATTTCCACTATAGCACTCGAATGTGGACGTATGCAAGTTTGGTTCGATATGGTAGGGTCCACAGCAGAGTCCGCTCGTGCGGCTTGCAACTGTGCGGTCTCCGCACGTCGCGACTGGTACCTCCTGACCCAACACCTGAGAGTGGGGCAGTGAGCTTAAACGTATCAGTGCGGTTGTTCATGATCAGAGCAGTGTTCATCAGAGCCGGTTGCCGGTGTCTCAAGCCTTTCGGACATCACAATGCCAGTAGGGGTTTTGGCGTCAATACGGAGCGCATCTGGGTCCAGCTCTTCCATTTCCTTCAGCGTCTTCAGATGCGGCCGTACACATTCCCAGACCTGAAAAGCTGTAAGATAAGGCGGAGCCCCAAGAATGTGAAGCTCAGTCAAAAAAAGCTGAAATTCATGAAAAGCGATCCGCTGACGACCTGCAGGTTACGGTAGTCCAGAGCGAGTCACTGTAGGTGAAGGCTAGATAATCAGAAAACTAACCTTATTATCTCTCAACAATTGAATAATTGCTTCGATGTCAGGATGCATAAAACGATCTTCGGTCAGAGGCCTGCAAAACTTGTTGTCGCTATTTTCTTGTATGAACTTTGCTACAGTACACTGTAGGTGAACTCACGCGCTAACAGAGCGAACCAGTTGATAGACTTTGTTGAGTGGTGCAGTAGAGACGAGCGGTTTGAGGAATTCTATACCTTGGCAGCCAGCCAACAGCTCCATAGCGAGTACTATACGCAGAAGAAGTTATTAGCCATAGAGCATCGTTCAAAGCATAAATAAGAAGGAAACTCATCAAGCTTTTATTTATATTATTCTATTTCATTATTAGTGGGTCGGAGGCGTTGTATTGGCAAGCCGCAGGTCCTTACCACCGTCCCCAGTATAGGAATCAAGTCCTGGGTTGTGCACCGTCCAGGCCAACCGAGAATTCCATCCTTGGAAGGCCTCTTGAATAGTACCGGACTTGTTTAGGACTTAAGTGACTTTATATCTTGTACGTCGGCTGGCCCCTACGGTGTATCGTGTAGGTCAAACCACATCCAAATGTCCCTACGATTCTAAGTGGAGGTAGAATGCGTGGCATACCCTAAGGGATGACTGAATAGCACGCATCTTTAGGATATCATTTTCTACTTTCTCCTTCCATTTCCCTGCATAAGATTTCGTTTTTTTTATTTCCATCGTTCTGTTCACAGACAAAACTGACCCAATAATTGAGTTGGAAATTTCGCCCCGGCACAGCGACTGTCCTTTGCAGAAAGACGTACGCCACACATTGAGGACAACAATAATTGATTGGGCCGGATATCAATGATAAGCTAGAAAATTGTCAGCCATATGTTCAATACGTTAACTACACTGAGCAGTTTTTTTTCTGGCTACCTGCTTTTTTCTGCAGAGGTCTTTGAGTGCTCTTTGAATACTGTTACACAACAAAAAGGAGAGGCAAAATATGGAGGCTGAAAAGGACAGGCGACTGCTCCTACTACCAAAACGTAAATGGAAATCACCGTCGCTTGCTTGTACCACGTTTCTACTTGTGTACTCACGGGAGTCATGAACGGTTTAGCACGTTGTCGAAGGATGAAGTGCCCCGAGTCCGCCTTCGAGCCCAATCAGGGAGGACATACAACCTTTTCCAAGAAACTTCGAATGAAAACCCAATTCATATCTGATACTAAAACCCTACCAATGGCATGCTAATTACAAGGGAAGCTGTGGCGCAGTTAACCACTGGAAGTAAAGCGCTTCCTTTAGCAAAACTGTGCTCCCGGGCTTTCAGAGTCGCCATGGAGTGGTGATAACGCCCTTGCTTTTCAACTACTAGGTCATGAGTTCTCCTCCTGTAAAGTGCAAACTACTGGAGCACTACCACTACTCCAATGCGCTATCACGTTCACATGTGACGCTTCAATTTCAGTCAACTTCCTTAGCACTTCGTTTTAGGTTTAAGCTTCCATATTTGTACTCAAAGTTGGGAGCTCTAAAGATTCTATGTCGTAATTCAAAGTCCCATGGGAACTTGTATGGCCTTCGCCTGGCTGATTCTCCTATTATCCGATGGTGAGTGAATTAAACAGAAGTGTGCACGAGGGACAAGAGGCTGAAGATATGCCGAGCTCAAGCGACCTACTTTGTTTGCCTGATGGAAACTGCTACTGTCCTTCGTGCAGTAGGATGTAAGCCCGTGATCGCTTTCAGTTAATGTTGATTCTACGAAGTGGGCATCTAGGCACAGCTTAATAAAGTTTGACTACTTCAGCATTAAATATTGAAAAAGAAGGCCCCTTTTTCTCTGGCCCACCGTAAACTTCTCTATTATAGCCCTTTGACGACAATGCGGATTCGCGCGTAGCTTGACTCGTGGACCACGCCTGTTTTTGGCGCGCCCAGCTCTCGCTCAAAATTAGGAAAAATTGTCCTTAAAAGCATTTTCTGTAGAATTTTCGGACTCTAACAGTATACCTGTTATAACTGCAGTTCTGGGCTTCCATACTGTAAATATTTTCAAGAGAATCCTAAATTTGGACGGAGACTCGCGTTTCTAAGGAAAGGAGGGCAAAATCTTCAAAAGTTCTAGTGTCCAAAAGCATGCCCGGGACACTTCAAATCCCTTCCCATCATGCTGACAGGCTATGAGAAAAAACAGGCCTGATTTATGTAATTTATCTTTGCCCTAAATAACTTAAAATCCCAATTAATATGATGGCGAGCTAAATGGCACATTCTAAAATTCTATATAAATTAGCTCTTAGTAAACATTTCTGTAAGTCGTGCTAGCCATAGATATTATGGAACTTGCTTATAATTACTTGGGGTGTTACAAATGTTTTAAATGCACAAAGTAGGAAATTTTAAGGTGGCACCCACCATTGGGTGCCATTGTCCCACGCGACGAACATAGTGGCACCCACCGGTGGGTGCCATTGTCGTCAAAGGGTTAAAAGGAATCTTCCACGGAAAAAGCTCCGCCCTCATTACCACAGAAAACGATACCTTAAAGGAATCTTCCACGGAAAGAGTGATCATTTTGTCTTGTGTGTAGGATTAGTATTATCGAAACTAACGCTTATGTTCGTTCTTTTTGCTATGCTCATGAGGCTAGGGGCCTAAGGTATCGTTTTTCTGTGGTAATGGAGGCGGAGCTTTTTCCGTGGAAGATTCCTTTAATGTAATGGATGTCCGCCTACCCACTCCAATACGGTATTTCATTTCACTAGGTCAGCTCTGACTCTGGTTTCTTATTTCTATGCCGTTTTCTATTTGTAAGAATTCTGTCTAATCGAACGTGTCCAGGAACATAAGCACCCCCCTTAAAAAGCTGCGAGAAAAGTGTCGGGTGCAGACCAAACACCACAACTGACGACGGCCTCCAAGTAAATCTGGTTAGAAGTTGTTCATAGTGATAGCTGATTTCTGGTATAATGATAGTTGTAATTAGTGACAATCGATAGAATACAACTGCAACAGGCCATTAACATTTTGTGAAGGCCGTCGGCACTTGCGATGCATGGTCTGCACCCGGCACTTTCTCGCTGTTGCTAGGGTATGTATGAGAGCGCTGACTTTTATATAGATTCCACATCCCCACAAGTCATGGTGCAAGCCGGATACGAACTCAAACATTACTACGTTTCCAAAGCTAATTTAGGTACGTGGCGCATTACCGAAAGGTTTTGATCGGCGCTAACTTTGTACAGTTTTTCAACTCGAAACGAATTTTTGAGTAGCCTTCTCACCAGCTTCCACGTGTTCGACGACAGTAAGCGCTTTTCGAGCGCTGAATCCTCCCATACTGACGTGATCTTCCTGATTGCAGCTGGTTGGAATGCTGTCGACCGAGGACGGATGACAAAGCACTTTGTTCTCGGAAACTGTAAAAATAAAAGTTTTTTTCTGGTGAGCCCTTGTGGTAGAAAATGTTCAGGTGACCTTACGGGAATCGCAGTAAACATGCATTTTTACAACCCTTCCAAACGACTGGCGCACCTCTACACGCTCTGCCGAAGGTAGTAAACTTGCTTCGCGCAACGTCAGCTACCATGTGATTGAGCAATGAAATACAGGGGTCACCACGAAGGTGTCCAAATTCAGAGTCCTTCATAAAGTAATAAAAGGCTTTTGGATTTACCCACAGTCTATTTTAGCATGATCTCACAGGTTGGAAGATTCCTGAGGAAAATTCCAAGACATTGGATAACAGCTGTCTCACAAAGAAGTTCCTTCAATTTATTCTGA